TGATTACTCCAGAATGGGAAGATTCTAATTATCACCTATGTATAATGGTACGTCCGATCATGATGTACAATTAATATTGATCCATGATATTACTGTGCCCCCCATGTTAAATGTTTACAAATGATAAGAAAAATTGACAAATATTCCCTGTTAAATTTTAATTATAATCTTGGTAATGAACTTTGGAATGAAGTATTTGATAATAATGAAGTGAATGCTGTGTTCAACGCATTCTTAAACATTTTCTTAAGACACTTTTGTAATAGTTTTCCCAAATGTCTCACTTGACCCCATACTAATACTAAAGTATGGATATCATCTACTATAAAAACTAAATGTAGTGTGAAAAGGCATTTGTATTTAAGCTGTAAGGAGAGTAATAACCCTTATATACAAAGTTACTATAAGCTATTCTGTAAAGATTTATTTAGAAATATTATAGAAGCCAAACGTTCATATTATGATAAACTAATTATAAACTCCGATAATAGAACTAAAACCACTTGGAATATTGTTACATCATTGACCGGGACGAAACCCTATCATGAAATTATACCAAACTTGAGCACTCCCGATAGATCATATATCAATACTAAAATGATTGCCGAATCCTTCAATAAATATTTTTTATCAATAGTGGAGACAACTACCAAAATGCACTAAAAAATATATTTGACATATGTAATAAGGCTAATGAATATTTAACTGATATATTTACAACCACTTTCCCTCCGATCAATTATAGTTACGTTACAACAAATGAAATTGAAAAAATTATAGACAAATTGAAAACGATCAATTCTACTGGGTATGATGAGATCCCTATCAAAGTATTAAAAAGTTTAATATTTTATTACCTCATCCTTAACATACATAAAAAATAGATCATTAGCTACCGGTATGTTTCCTGATAGGTTAAAATTCTCCAAGATAAAACCTATATATAAAAATGGTGATAAAAATCGTATCACTAAGTATAGGCCTATATCCTTATTGACTTCCTTTTTGAAGATATTTGAGAGAATGGTGTTTGTAAGACTTTGTCATCATTTGACTATCAACAGTGTTTTAGCCAATGAACGGTTTGGATTTCGAATGAATCTTTCCACTGAAAAGGCCATTAATAGATTGCTTGACCTGACCTTAACTGCCCCAAATGCTGGCCATATTGTGGATGGAAAAATTTGTGATTTGAAAAAGGCCTTTGACTCTGTCAGTCACAAGATTTTATTGTCTAAGTCGGAATTCTATGGTATTACGGGTCCGATGCATAAATGGATAGCATCTTATCTTAAATGAAGGTTTCAGAGAATTAAATTACAAGGTAATGATAGTAACCTAAATACCTATTCAAATTGGGGCTTAATATCCCATGGTGTCCCACAGGGATCCATTTTGGGTCCCCTGTTATTCTTGATCTATATTAATGAAGGTTTTAAATCATGTAGTTTTAAACAAAATATCTTGAAGCTGGTGGCCACCATTCTCTATGCACTGATGCAACCGTTTTCTGAAATTCCCCTCAGCACGTTCCAGCATGTGCACCGGATTTTGGGCTACTTCCTGCCAAATAACATTCTTCAGCTGAAGCAGGTTTGTGGGGTGATATTTAAAAACCTCTGCCTTGAGGTATCCCCACAAAATAATCACAGTGCATTAGATCAGGTGAGTGCGCTGCCCACGGGATGTCACCTCGAAGTGAGATGAGCCGTCCGGAGAGCTTTGCCCTGAAAACTGTCATCGAAGCTCAGGCTGTGTGGGCCGTGGCACGATCCTGTTGGAACCAGACATTTCCTAGATGCATTTCTTCAAGAGCTGGTTTGAAAAAGTTTTTAATCATGTCCACATACCGCTGTGAATTGACAGTAACTGCATGATTGTCTTCTTCAAAAAAATAAGGACCAATAACTCCAACTCTCAACTACGCACAATTGTCACCTTATCACTGTGAAGTGGCCTCTCGTAGAGCTCTCTGGGATTGTTACCACTCCAATAGCACATATTCTGCTTGTTGACATATCTGGATAGGTGAAAATGTGCCTCATCACTAAAGAAAACAAGTGCGTCAGGGGGTAAAGTTTCCAATAATGTTTTGCACGCCGATATTCAGTTCTGGAAATCACGTGGTGACAATTCTTGCACAATAACCATCTTATAGGGATGGAAATGAAGATGTTTGTGAAGAATTTGGTGCATTGAACGATTGGATATGTCTAGGGCTACTGCATGTTTGTGAGCGGAGCGTCTTGGAGATGTCAATATCGACTGTTGAACTGTCTCCACATTTTCTGGCATCGTAATGGTCCGTTGTCATCCTGATGATTTTTTCACCACACTCCCGGTTATCCTAAAGTTCTCTACCCACAAAGCAATCGATTTCTGGTCGGGAACCAGACTTCTGGGCTTAATTCGAAAGTGAGTATGGAACGCATGCTGCACCGCCATGTAGGAATGGTTGTTTGAAAAATAGGCTTCGCAAACACATGCTGCTCACTCATCCACCTCATGTTTCCTACTGAGGGGTATCAGACAGAAACTTTCATGACTGCTGCGTTTGCCAAGCCTATCCCCACTTTTCTGCATCCTCCCTTCCCTTCACAGTGCGTGTTCACAAAAAGAAAGTTTTTGCGTCCCATCCTGTATATGATAAGATGGAAATACCCAACTCAACCCGTTTAAAGTTCTTAGGGGTTAATATTGCAAATACTCTAACTTGGAAAACTCATATTGACTCACTTATCCTGAAACTTAGCTCTGTGTGCTATGCAATCCAAGTCATAAAACCATTTGTGAATCAGGAAACTTTGCTGATGGTTTATTATGCCTATTTTCACTCTATTATTTGATATGGCATTAATTTTTGGGGTAACTCTTCGTATGCTATCAGTGTCTTTCATTTGCAAAAGAGGGTGGTGAGGCTAATAACTGGTGCTGGTAATAGAAACTCATGTAAAACGATATTCACTACTCTAAAATTTCTTACTCTTTCATCTTTGTATATTTATTCACTACTATCTTTTGTGGTCGCTAGCATGGATCAGTATTATTTTGTATCTGATATACATAACAGAGACACTAGACAGGTACTGAACCTAAGTCTATATCAACCCTCAACTCGTTTATCATTCTATCAAAAAGGATCATTATATGGGCATCAAACTATTCAATTGTCTCCCACAAAATCTGAAACAGTTATATAAAGATATTAAATGGTTTAAATTAAAATTAAAAGAATTCTTGAGTTGTCGCCCATTTTATACTGTGGATGAATTTTTTTGTATATACTAGTCGGTAAGATTAATTGTATTCTGGTTCTATTCTTATATCTTGACTTAGTTCTTTGTACTGCTTATTTATCTAATATGACTTTTCCACATCCTAAAGTATTGGATTTTATGGAAATAATAGATGAGTAATGAAAATGAAAAAAAAGAGCTTGTACTGACGCCTGAAACCTTTGAGAGTTCTATAATAAGATGTCCGCGTTGTTTTTGTAAACTGGGTGAGTTTTGTTGTATATATGGTTGATATGTTCTTTTTTTATTGTTTTATGAATGCCTTGACTTGTTCCTGTGGGAATGGAATGTTTGTGTTTTGATCTGTGACTCATTCTATATCCAATGGTTGTTTCCCAGCCTGTATCTGGATCTATTTTGAATTTGAAATAAATGAAATGAAATGAAAGAGAACACATACTTTGCAAAGTATGCTCCTTGTGATTTTGTGTAATTCTTTTTCTCCATTGTTTGTTTATTCTGAACGTAAAGCTGTTGCCATAGAACTAATCTATGTACATGTATGGAGCCTGAAATTACTCTTCTCCTATATTTCATTAAGTATTCACCGTTTTGAAATCTATCTGGAATACAGTCTTCATGAGATGTATATATTTATACCAAATTTTTGTAGGATGAAACATTGAAAAGAATAATTTAAAATTTGTGTTAAAAGTTGCATGTCTAGTTCTGATGTGCATCCCCAAATACCATAGTGAAACCCATTCGGTGCTGAAACATGCAGGTGGTCTCATAATGTCAGGTTTCTGAAGCTTTCATGATGAATAAATGTCCCAAAATCTGTTCAGGGAATCAGCTGTCTCAGTGCTGAACTATAAACCAACATTCAGAGATCTTCTCTACCTTCAGCATCAGGTTCAGTGCGGTGAATGGTCATACATGTCTCAGTCTCACAGTATGCCTCATCTTACTGGCATACTAGGCCATATGAGGGTAGAGGCAACTTCATCAGTCACCTGTCCAACTGCATATTGCCAGGTGCACCAGTAGAATGCAGCAGTATATCAGTTGACAGACAGACTCTCTCTGTCTCTCTCTCTCATGACATGATCATTCACCACTTAAATTCTGATGTTGGAGACAGAATGTCCCTGGTATATTGTTCTTTATCATAACATTGACAAGATATACATTTTGAGGTTTTCGTGGTTGTGACTCTTAAGATTGTCTTCTTGTGTTCTGGGTTGCGAGCTGTGTAGTTTTGTGGGTGGATACAGACTTTTGGAGGAACGTAGTGCCACCATCTTCAGGATTGAAGGGTGTAAGTTTAGGAATAGGCTTAGTTATACAGTTACACAAAGATCCATTCCCAGTCACACTTTCATTTCCGATACATCACAGTAAATTTGTGTGCTCCTTACAAGAGCCATTTTCTGTCCATTTCTTCCTGCTGGCTTAGACAAGGTTCCTTTCCTTAACCCACTTCCTTGGATCCCATGACAACATTCCAAGTAATTTGCGTATATAACCTATTCCTGAACCTACACAGTTTATCCCTGAAGATGGAGATAGAATGTTCTTCCAGAAAATTGGATTCCACCCACAAAACTACAGAGTGTCATGACCCAGAAGACCACATTCTTAATATCAACATGGCTGATTGCCAAAGAGGATTTTAGTGCCTTTTCATGTTATGTTAATTTTATGCACTCACCACAAGTAACACAGATGCTATGCTACTAATATTATACTTATATTTCACAGTTGGATAAGCTTCTGGATAAGAGGAAACAAGCCCTTGATGCTGTCATTGAGTTCAGAATTGATGACAGCCTTCTGGTAAGGCGCATTACAGGAAGACTGATCCATCCTACCAGTGGACGCTCATACCACGAGGAATTCCACCCTCCACGGGTGCCCATGAAGGATGATGTGAGAATACAGCTTTATCATTAGATAAAATATACACAGAATTACTGGGATTTTGGACTTTTTCCCTCGTCTGGAATTTTTGATAATAAGAGGACAATGTTTCGGAAACTGGATCTCTTTCCGTCTTCAGGTGAGAAATGAAGACACCTACTCAGATGGGCCCAGTGATTGAGATTAGCTCTTTGTAAGGGGCCCAGCTGAGTAGGTGTCTTCCTTTCTCACCTGAAGACAGAAACAGATGCAGTTTCTGAAATGTCGTGTCCTCTGTTACCAAAAATTCTGGACAATGGAAAAAGTCCAAAACCCCAGTAATTCTGTGTGTCATCCACCATTGTCAGAACCCTTAATCTAGTAGATAAAATATAGCTAAAATGAATTTTGGCTTATGTAGTTTGATAGACCATGTTAGGTGGGTCCCTTGTCACCACGGCATGGCGCGTCCTCAGGTTGCAGATGGAGGAGACACCCTCCAGTTGTGGGGGGAAGCTGTGAATATATTAAATAAACAGTCATGGAGAGCCGACAAGGGGTGGTCCTCCAGCTTGGGGGGTTGCATGTGGGGTTAACAACTCCTCGCTGTAAAAAATTATCATGTTACGAAAATGAACACAAAGCCTTGGACCTGGACAGATTCCTTGGATAAACGACCTAAGCTAATGAAAATGGATATGAGATTTGGAACTTGGAATGTACGAAGTTTGTATAGGGCAGGTTTGCTCAGGGCAGTGGCATAAGAAATCTTAAACTATAAGTCAGATTTAGCGGGAGTACAGAAGGTCAGATGGGATGGAGGTGACATCGCACCGGCAGGAGACTATACATTTTTCTATGGAAAGGGGAATGAAAATAATGAATTAGATACAGGCTTTTTCGTACATAAGAGAATCATATCAGCAGTTAAGAGGATAGAGTTCATTAGTGATAGGATATCATATATAATACTAAAAGGTCGCTGGTGTGATATCATTGTTATGAATATTCACGCCCCAACAGAAGATAAAATTGATGACATAAAGGACAGGTTCTATGAAGAACTAGAACATGTATTTGATAAATTCCCGAAGTACCCTACGAAAATGTTAGGAGATTTCAATGCCAAAGTAGATCATTCAGGGCAGTGGACTGTGATACTGACCACTACCTGGTGGTGGAAAAGATTAGGGAAAGACTGGCAGTGAGTAAAGAAACAACACACAGAGTTCATATGGAGAGGTTCAATCTCAAGAAATTAAATGAGGTAGAGGGTAAAGAGCAGTATTGTGTTGAAATCTCAAATAGGTTCGCAGCTTTGGAAAACTTGGGCACTGAGATGGACGTTAATAAAGCCTGGGAAACTATTAGGCGGCTTTCAGATGACACACGGCTGGATACACAGTTTCCAGTGATTGCAAATATATTAGTGTGAATACTAGAGTTCACACAAGCGTCTCACGTCCAAGACACTGTCACAGCTGTGTCCTCTTCAGTGGCCAAGACACTGACTTGTGGTCTGGCCACTCAAAGTGCACTGAGTTCTATGCTAGCGTTCAGATGGGACATACAGAGTCTAGCATCATTGATGAAATGGTGGATAAACATTTTGATACTTCCATCTGAATGACTGAGGGCAACATCAACATGGGGTTCTGACGTCAGAGTCACTGAGTGTGCGTGTTGTGGCTTTGAGTGGCTGTGTCCCAGGCACTAGTCTCAAGCCACCATATGTCTTGTCTGAAAGCGGCCCTAGAGAGAATATAAAAATGTCTGCCAAAGAGAGTCTAGGTTATTATGAACCAAAGAAGCATAAGCCATGGTTCAATGAAGAATGCTCAAAATTATTAGACCAAAGAAAACGGGCCAAATTGCAATGGTTACAGGATACAAGCGAAATAAATAGGGATAATCTGAACAATAGAAGACACGAAACCAACAGGCATTTCAGGGAAAAAAGAGGGAAAGTCTGAAAGACAAAATTGATGAGCTTGCAATGAACAGTAACAAGAACATCAGAGATCTGTATAGAAGAATAAATGACTTTAAGATGGGTTACAAACCTAGCAGTAACTTAGTGAAGGATGAGAATGGTGATCTGCTTACAGATATGTGTGTATATGTCTAAAATGAATGCAAAGGCAAAGTGAAACTCCCGTAACCGATTGTTTAACTAGAAAACTAAAAAGCAATTCACTGGCTAGAGATATAGAATCCAAAGGTTCAAAACTGCCCTCTCCATCAGAAGCAAACTATTTTATATTAGGTAGCTCACATTACCATAAATTCTTTCCTTAGAACTATTAAAATGTATTTTCTGAAATCAGTAACAGGAATTATACCATGAGATTAAAAGAGAATGGAAGACGTTAAGGAGGAATTACAGATTACAGTAATAATATTACAAGATAGAATATTAAGGGCTGTAGAAGTACAAGATGCTATCGGAAGTTTCCTGGACTGTACAAAAAAAGATATACTGACTTAACTTACTCAATTTAGCTGCCATCTCCCTCAAAATATTCTCCTTGGAATGTACACAGGGATCCCATCGTTTTTTTTTCACGCCTCCAAAGCACTGTGGAAGTCATTTTCCTTAATGCTGACAAGTATTGCTTGCAATTTCCTTTGGATATCAGACACTGTTTCAAAACGTCGCCATTTCATTTTCATTTTCAATTTGGGAAACAAAACAAAATCACAGGGGGCTAAGTTGGGCAAGTAGGGAGGATGGGAAATGATAACCATGTTGCTGTTAGTCACAAACTGTTATTTTCAGGGACCTGTGAGTGGGTGCGTTATGATGAAGGAGCCAGTTGTGGTCATGCCAAAGTTCTGGTCTTTTTCATCGCACATTTTCTCTCTAGTGTCTCAAAACCTTATAGTAAAAGTCAGAGTTGACTGTAGTGTTAGGAGGAACAAATTCACGCAAAACAATTCCCTTCATGTTGAAAAAAACAATGAACATGCTCTTTATTCATCTCTGGACCTACTTCACCATTTTTGCTCTTGATGATTGTGGGCTCTTCCAGTGTAACGTTTGTTGTTTAGTTTTTCGATCATAACCATAAATCCAAGTTTCATCACCCGTTATGATCCTAGAGATAAAAATTGGGTCCTCATTAGCCTTCTCTCATAGCTCAAGACACACATTTACGCACCGCTGCTTTTGATCATTTGCCAAGAGTCCAGGATCAAACTTCACAGCAATTTGGCACGTGTTCAAATTTTCTGTTAAGATCTGATGGCAGTCTCCATAGGTGATACCAACGATGTCTGCGAGCTCATGGATTGTTCAGTGACGGTCTTGGTGGACAAGTTCTTGAATTTTTTCAACATCTTCTGTAATTTTTCTGGTGCTTGGTTACCCTGAACATTCAACATCTTCAACTGACACTAGACTGGCCTTGAAACATGAATGCCATTCAAGAACTACTGTCCAGCTTAATGAATGTTCAATGAAAGCCTCACAAAGCATTTCAAGGATTTTGGTAAGGGATTTACCGAGCCTCACGCAAAACTTGATATAGACACATTACTCGATTTTGCCATCCTTCACAGGCAAAACGAAACACAAAGTCAAAAGAGCACTCGTGTAAAAACAATGTGTGTTCACAGGACAGACTTAAGTGGCACACTGATGCAACAGGCGTGTGGAAGTGTGGCCTTGGCCTCTCCTCTCATCTTCTTTCACCAAGACAACAATAACAGTCCAGAATTTTTGCACAAGAAGAAAGAAATGGTACAACATCTGTGAAAAGATGGATTGACCAAAACAGATTTCAGTGGAGATGGAACTGGCATTTGGCCTTAACTTTGAAGTTCATTTATGAATCACATTTATCTTTCTACTTCCAGTTGCCTCATGTGTATGTGGATGTGTGCACTTGCACACATGTGGGTGTGCACGTGTTCTTTTCTTCCACCTCTTATTTGGCTATGTATTTAATAATATAACCAAGTGATATTTGAAGTTCTGACTGTGGTGAGTGATGTGACTCTTTGTAGTCTGGTAGATAGTTTTCAACATTCCTCTGAAACTGTTGTACGTGTTTACCACGCTGCATGGAGTTACAGTCCAGAAGACTAATGTTTAATATAATGTTGGTTTTCTTAGTGATTGCTTTCAAAAAACTTTTTGATCCAAAATTCTGAATGAATGTTTATTCCATCTGAGGTACATCCTCCACCACTTGCCTCTTGGACGTAATTACCCCAATAATATAACGAATAGAGTATGTTGTTAGACTTGAAAGGATTCTGACGATGATGTATACTGTACTTCTTTTAGCTTGTTTTGGACTTCATCCATTGTCTGGTATGTAAAAGACAAAAGACCACAACGTTTCAGAGACTGGATCTGCCTCCGTCCTCAGTTGGGTCCATTAGAAAGATCTAGGTCCAGTGATTGAGACTAGCTCTTTCTAACGGGCCCAACTGAGTAGGTTTATCCTGCCCTACCCACCTGAGGAGGGAGACAGATCCAGTCTCCGAAACGTTGTGGTCTTTTGTCTTTTACTTACCAGACGATGGATGAAGTCCAAAACAAGCCAAAAGAAGTAGAGTGTGTTGTATTTACCTGACTATAAGACAAGCTTCTTTTACATGTATATTGATTAAGAAATAGGAGTTTTGTAGGTGCTTACATATTAGCAAATGACAAAAGTTACTGCCATATTTTTCGCCACATTAGCACTGCCAGCTGTGTAAGTTTATTTGTAAAAGTAAGGCCTAAAGCCTAACCTCAGGATCTGCTTTCAACAACAGTCCACAAGGTTAAGTTTTTGATTCTGTTTTGGAAGGTTAGTGTTTATGTTTTGTTTTAAAGGCTAGGCTTTTAGTTTTATTTTTAAAAATACATAGTTGGCAACCCAAATATGATGGACAGCATAACAATAACATTTTAAATTTTCTTGGATTCCACAAACCAAGCTGAGGAATAGACATGTATTCTTTGGAGCTCAGAGCGTCATGTGGGAGCACCATGTTACATACTTTATATGAATATTAATTTTTGTCTCTTTATAAAAGACCTAACTAGTCCAGCATGCATAAAGGAAGGTACCTAAAGTCAGTGATTATCTTATTATTTCTTAGGATGATAAGTGAACTGTAAGTCTCATGGTCCAAAGATGAAGTGGTGAACAGGTTATTAAAGCATGATAAGCTGTCCTGTCATCATTCATTGCTTTTTATTGTTATCAGACAGTTTTGCGGCAGGCTGGCTTTATGGTTATTGGGTTGCACAATTACAAGGACGCCTTTTATTGCTGGATAAGAATTCTTTGTACCAGAGAGTTAACTTCTTTTATATGATGACCTCAACATATTATCTCAACGTCATATACTTATTTTTGTTCATTAGTACCACGTCATGTGTATTAGTTATTAAAGACGGGGTTTCGATTGGCGAACCGATCTATTGGATGGTCACCAGTTGTAACTACAGTTAATTGTAACACCCCTAGATTACTTTAACTATAAGACACAAAACAAAGTCTTCGCTTGCTTGGGAACACAATGAATCTGTGTGTCTGTAGTCTCTCGCATTCTGTCTTTTGAAAGCACACTAATTCACTTCTGAACTGACGGCTTCTCAACTGGCCTCCTTTTATCCCTGCTAGGTGGCTGGGATAGGAATCACCTCCTTGCAGAGTTCTGTTTGTCATATCCATGGTAACAGTCTGTTTATATATGCATTGTCACGTGAACATGTTTACAGTTGCCACCCAAGGAACAATGTATTCACTCCTCCTCGTTGTAGCGGAAACATTACTGAGGTATTTTCTAGCAATGGACGCCTTTTCTGACTCCACCATTTCGGCTTTCACGTGCCATGTCACAGTATTATTATTATTATTCTTAGTCGGGCGGGCCTGAGTCCACTTGGTACAGCAGCCATTATTGGCCTATTTTACCATCCCCAGATGATAGATGATGGTGATTGTGGGACAGTTGGTGGAATGAAGATTGGCAGGGGAAACCAAAGTACTCAGAGAAAACCTGCCCCAGTGCCACTTTGTCCACCACAAATTCCATATGACTAGACCTGGGCTTGAACCCAGGCTGCCGTGGTGAGAAGCCAGCAACTAACCGTCTGAGCTATAGTGCTGCCCCATGAATACCATATATAACCATTATTTTGTCCTATAGTACTTCACATTATTGTGCCTGTTGTGGTTGATCACTGTATGTAATGATTTACAGCAATGGAATTGGCTTCTTGTAATTAGGTATATGCTCCTGTTTGAACTAGGTAGGCACCCAAGATCAGTAGAGAGACCCAAAGGAATGATTAACACATTATAAAGGAAATTATTGCGTTGCAAATGTGGGGTTATGATCTGTCTACACAGCAGCACAACCCAGAATGCTGTGATCTTATTACAATACAGATTTGAGAAGGGTAGTTGTGGCATCTTGAGGTGGGAAGGGGGTAGCTGCATTTAAAAGAAGAACTAAGCCTATGACATCTACCCACATCTGCTCTTGTTTTCAGACCTGATGATTTCTCAGCCTTAAGATCTAGTGAAATACATCTTCAGATGTGTGTTGCTCAGCTTATTTTATTTTGGATGTTTCACATCCTGAACATTGGATCTAGGGAATACATCTATCCATCCATCCATCCACCTAGAAGTTCCATTTTTAGGATCCCAGCCCACAAATATATAGAGTGATTACAAGTTTATGACTAAACATAGGAGGATGTTGTGGAAATAAATTGGAACAGAAAAGGAAAATAAATTTTTGTTACAGTCACCCTTTCCAAATTATGACATTTTTTCCACTTTTTAAGGAAATTAAGGAATTGTCCATTCATGTATACGTTTGGTTATTTACATTTAACACATTTATTTGCTATTTTTAATTACAAAGAATGAATAGTAAAGGTTCCAAATTTGTTAGCTCTTTTCAGTTTTAGATCTAACACAGATGTCTGATCATACGGTGGGGACTAGCACACAGTTCTACATATTCATCCACAAGAACTGCTCACAGTTACCACCTCAAACCCACATGCTTGTTTTGCAACAACGTGAGATGGAATCCCTGAAGTGAACCAGTTGTCTGTGTTGATCCCTAATGTCTGTCATGGCCAGCCAGGCTGGATTGATTAGTGAAGCCATCACGCTCTTCTACTTCTGCATGTAAATGTTTTCTCTGATGCAGCCCCATAAGAAAAAATCAGGTAGGTTCAGATCAGGAGAACTTGGAAGCCAGACCAGCAGTCAACCCGTGCATCTAGAAAATGGTTGCTCAAAAAATTTATGTACTTGGCATGAAAAATTGGGAAGTGCTTCATCATGCTGAAACCACATGTCCTCGTGAATATTAAGGGGTGCATCTTCCATTAAAAGGAGAAGTGCTCACTCGTGGAGCTGAACCCTTCTTGAGAAGCCGCCAATTGTGCAGTTACTCAAGAACTTCCCAGCATTATATGCAACCCCATTAGTAGTTATGGGGCTGTGATTTTGTAAATGGTCATTCTTTTTTCATATCTGATTATTATTTTCACAATTTAAGTGTGACCATAGATGGGTATTTGATTGGTGAATGGATTTATTGGCCACTTACACAAATCACTTGGATTACAGCGCTATCAATGATTTGCACACTTTGCAAATCACTAGCATACATTAAGTCTTCTCAGTATTCACTAGACTTTTCCTGGCAGTGGCTTCTAACAGTAGAGATTTTTCAGCTTCTTGCTGCCCGGTCCTCTTGTCACAGCTGCCTGTGCAGAACTCAACTCACTCAACTATAGCACCATGTGTTCTTAGATTCCCTTGCAAAGCTGTACTGAATTGGATTGCCCCACTTGTTTTCTTTATAACTCTCTCGTGTGGACCACATCTAAAACACTATTCTTCTATTGATGCATGGATATTTGTTTCTGTGCGAACATGTTTACTAAGCTGTTGCCCAGAAACGGCCTTCTGTTTGCCTATTGTATAGCAATGGCTTCTCTCATTGTTTGTTTCAAAGTCTCTGCCTAGCATTGGGTCTATATGCCACATTATGTTAGGATTTTTATTGCATTTTTGTTTATGACACAAGGTTAGATTTACTTCTGCTTTTATGCTGCAGAATATTAGCAAATTCAATTGTAAACACAATAATTGGTTATTAATGATGTTTGTTTATTCTTCATAGTTTACTGGCGAACCACTGATTCGCCGTGATGATGACAATGTTGATGCTTTGAAGAAACGTCTTGAGGCATATCATAAGCAGACTAAACCTTTGATAGACTACTACAGTTTTAGAGGTATGTTATATTACATCATCTGCTTGAATTGGGACCAATTATGACAGGAGGATACAAAAGTGTTTCCATTGGCCAGGGATATAACATGCTGTCTGTCTTTCTCTTAGATAGCCTAGTATTATATTGTAGCATCCTGTTGCACATTATTAATTAATTAATTGATTAACAAATGTCTCTGATGTTCCATCTTACATGCAACACTTAAAAAAATTGTTTAACTGTTACTGCATATACATATTGTAACGTCTTGCCACTGAAAACGCCATTTGGATTGTTAATTGGTTTATTTAACAACCTACAAGTTATAGCTACAATTAATTATAATTAATAATTAATTAATAATCCCTTAAATATGTATGCATTTATGCATGAAAAACTTCCGAACTATGCACATAAAAATTTATACCAAATATTAAAATTGATTTTACATTATTTTAAGACCAACAAATCAATATTTAAGTTAATTTTATGTAATCACCGAATAATTCACTTGCAGTAAAAAGCTATACTTAAATACAGATCATGCAACAAAGCCAACATATTTCATTACAAATTTAAAAAACGAATGGTACTCACATTTAGCTCTCCGAACTTTCAACTTCTCTTCTCTTGCAGGTCACAATTACTAAACGTTTTAAGTTTTCCATAGTTAGTTGACTGTTGACTCTTAAGATGTCCTTATAGGAGGAAAAACTTCTTTCCACCTCACAGGAACTTAGTGGCGCATGTACAAAAGCCGCTATTTGCTCCACTGTTAGTGATTTTTTACTTGGCAGTTCAGTACATTTACTGGATAAAATTTCTTCAATTTCACAAATTTGTTCATATTCTTGTTTTTTTTTTAAGAATGCTGTGTGCTTTTTCCTTTACTACTTCACCAACTCTTCCAGGAACCGAATTCAATTTAGAAACAGTGGTTTTGAACACACTTAATGACTGATACAAAGTAGTATTGTTATTTCTTGCCTCCAGTTGGCAGATGGAAGATGAGAAAAGTGAGCAGATATATAGGAAAGATTAGTTTTTAGTTCTGCGGTTTTTAGTACATCTTGGGCAATTTGAATTGATGCTGCACTTTTGGGATCAAATGTATTTACGACATTCCTGTTTCTAAATGTTTGGTATAATAACTCGCTGCACACAGCCACGTGCCCCAGCGCGGTAAAATTGGTTCTGGCAGAAGTGGAACGCTCGGTGCTACTGCTTTAAATGCTTCTTTTCTGTATGGCGCTTTAACAAATACCTTCTTCACAGAAGACACCAACTTGTCAACAAGCAGAAAATTTGCACAAATTGTTTCTGCAACACGGTGCAACCCATGGGCAAGGCAAGTCAAATGTGTCATATTTGGAATTATAACTTTAAGAGCAGTACTGGCTTTTATCATATAACTTGCGGCATCAGTCACAAAGAGCAATACGTGCTCATACTGAATGCCATTTGGCCATAGTAAATTCATGGAATTGATAAAAAATTCAGAAACTGGGGAGCTATTTGTGGTTTGAAATTGCTCTACCACAAGAAGATATGGGGTAGGTTGTTCATTCTTATTAAGGGATCCAACTATACAATTTGCAATAAACTGTCCCTCACAATCTTGTGTTTTGTCAATTGATACCCACACAAAATTATCTTGAATCTTATCTCTAATGCTTTCAATTGTAAGATCGTAACACTGCTTCACATAATTTTTGCACACAGATTCATCCAGCACTTTGCACTGTGTTTACTTCTCTATGAAGTTTCTCAAAGCAGGACTGGTTAGTTTCCACAGCGGAATATCTGCCGCTAAAGAGGCTTCGAATAAGTCAAAGAAAAACCGTGAAAAACTATTAGAAAATTCACTAAGCAATTTTTTAAGAGGAGCACTTTTCGTGGATTTAATTTTAATATTCTCTTTGTGTATATTAGTGTTCTCTCACAACCAACTGTTTTCTCAGACGCTCGGCAATAAAGAATTTCTTTATCTGTACTTATCACCTCTCCTTCGAACTCCTGCTGATACAGCTGTAATTTAGTTTTCTGACTTACTTCCAGTTTCGGCATGACTACAGAAAGCTAAACAAACTTAACTACAGACTAGTCACCGCTAATGTGAATGGCCCCAGCTTCCAATGAAGAAGCGTAACAAACCTCATGGAGACTTCGGAAATAAATAAGTGAAGTCCCTTATCGGTTGAATAGTATTACGTTGATAGCGGCTACATGTGAACGCTTCCGACTAATCTCTTCGCGGCCACTTTGATGGTACGCGGATGAGGCAAGTTACGAGTAGAGGAATCGGTGAAGTCCCGTCCTGGGTATTGCATCAGAAACATGACTCATGACAAAATGTTGAGTCAAATATGCAACATATTCTAATATGGAAAAGAAAAATTGTATACACATGACCATGATTGAAAATTTGAACATAAAATTAAAAAATATATATGATAAACATTTTAAAAAGGAAATATGCTGTATAAATAGAGATCTTCGAAAATATGATGCTTATTCCTAAAACAGGCAAAATATGCATTTATATGCACCATCAAACCAAAATTTAAGAAATGAAGTAGTTCATGCATATATCCAAACGAGCATACTTTCTGGTTGCAAGAAAGAAATATGTATTTGCATTAAAATCCGGTCCTAGTCATCAGTGAGTCACAGACCCAGTCAGTAGGAATGATCACCCAGTGTTTCCATTTGGGAATTTCCTTCCGGCATTTCGTAGGAAATTTATGCTTTTCCATTTGGGTCCCCTTGGCATGGTAGCCACTGAGTGGCCTATTGTCTCTGCCCTGGATGATTATGATGATGGAGAATTTGGTGGAATGAATATTGGCAGGGGAAACCAAAGTACTCGGAGAAAACCTGCCCCAGCGCCACTTTTTCCACCACAAATCCCACTTGACCAGACCCAGGATCGAACCCAGGCCGCCGCGGTGGGAAGCCAGCAACTAACCGATTGAGTCCTAGTCATCAGTGAGTCACAGACCCAGTCAGTAGGAATGATCACCCAGTGTTTCCATTTGGGAATTTCCTTCCGGCATTTCGTAGGAAATTTATGTTTTTCCATTTGGGTCCCCTTGGCATGGTAGCCACTGAGTGGCCTATTGTCTCTGCCCTGGATGATTATGATGATGGAGAATTTGGTGGAATGAATATTGGCAGGGGAAACCAAAGTACTCGGAGAAAACCTGCCCCAGCGCCACTTTTTCCACCACAAATCCCACTTGACCAGACCCAGGATCGAACCCAGGCCGCCGCGGTGGGAAGCCAGCAACTAACCGATTGAGTCCTAGTCATCAGTGAGTCACAGACCCAGTCAGTAGGAATGATCACCCAGTGTTTCCATTTGGGAATTTCCTTCCGGCATTTCGTAGGAAATTTATGTTTTTCCATTTGGGTCCCCTTGGCATGGTGGCTACTGAGTGGCCTATTGTATCTGCTCCGGATGATTATGATGATGGAGAATTTGGTGGAATGAATATTGGCAGGGGAAACCAAAGTACTCGTAGAAAACCTGCCCCAACGCCACTTTGTCCACCACAAATCCCACTTGACCAGACCCGGGATCGAACCCAGGTCGCCGCGGTGGGAAGCCAGCAACTAACCGCTTGAGCTGTGGCGCAGCCGTGACATATTACATATAAGTTTTGACTGTAAAAATACAGTGTTAGCACTGGTTGAGAATTCACTGAGAAATCTTACCATTTGTGTCATAAGCACTTCTACTGTTAACTCCTCCTGGTTTCTCCCATATCTCATTCCAGTCCTGTATATTAACAAATAATAATAATAATATTAATAATTTTATTTAACATTCATCACAGTTACAAATTGTAACTCTCGAACAAGTCACATACATATACAACTTTTCCAGTCTAATTGGCAGGAGGCCCAATTGATTGAACGTCGTCATATATCACATAACATAACATTCAGTTACAATTAAAATCACAGGCTCAGTATAATTAAAATATATTAGGTACAATCAAATTTATGACTACCTTCCATTATAAAAAGCAAGGTCATCTTAAATATCTTAATTACCACCATCATATTCTTAAACTTAAAACCTATTATATCAAAATAATCCACAAAAGATAAAATTCAATTTAGATAATGATTAAATCATTTGGAGTGCAATCTCTTTTAAGACTTCCATTCCCTCTATAGGCTGAATCATATTAAAAACTTCACCTAATTACTAGTCATTTTATTTACACTTAAATATATTTATCAAGGAGAATCTTATTCATTTAACTGTCCTTCTGAGAGGAACTCATGCAAATTATACAATGGGTGTTCCAGTAAATATCTTTTGAGTCTTAGTAGGAATTATCTATCTGCTTTTACCATTCTTAGTTCCAAAGGCAGTCTATTATAAAGCTTAAAAGCCATATTTGTAACACCCTTCTCATATGTTAAGGTATTATAACTTTGCACATGAAGGTCTTCTTTCTTGTGTCATACTTATGTAGGTCAGATGTTTTTGTGGTGTAAATGTTATATTTCTTGAAATAACATAACACCTCTAACATATACAAAGATGTTACTGTTAAAATTTTTAATTCTCTAAATATAGGTCTACATGATGTTCTTTTTGTTACCCCTTTCATTGTTTGAAGAACCCTTTTTTGCAAAATCAGAAGTTTTTTACTTTCACTTTCTCCCCCCCAAAATATCAAACCATAACTTATTTGAGATTGGTACTTAGCAAAGTACACATTCCTATGGACATATGCGCTTACTTCGCCTTTCAAAGCTTTAATAATGTAACACACCATGCTGAGCTTTGTGGGTTAAATTAGTACCAAGAAATAAACTGTGCTGTATAATTAATTATTATATTTTTAAAGGTAATTACTCTCTCAATGCTATCTTGTAGTTTATTCATATGGAAATACGTAGGTCATACTGAAAGTCATGAGCAACAATTTTTTGTAAAGTAACAAGCTTTATTATTGACAAACCAAATACACCACCTCAATCTACAGACCTTTCTTTATTTTTCCACATAATTGCCACTTCTTTGTACACGTTTCTGCCAGCATTCTGGGAGTTTGAAAATTCCCCTTCTGTAAAATTCTGTTCCAGCCATCCGAAGACACTGACACACTGCTTTCTGAATTCAGTGTGCCTATGGAAGTGTGTGCATGGGTGCGAGTAGCATTCAAAGATGGGTGAAACATTTTAAAGATTGAAACACCAGCATTGAAGATGAGCCTTGGAGCGGTCATCCTCGAACAGCCTCAACTGAACGCAACAAGGAAAGAGTGGATGAGATCATTCAGGATCACAGGCGTGTGACTGTGGACGCAGTAGCCCGAAAACTTGGAATAGGGCACAGTGCAGTACAGAAGATGATTGAAAGCTTGGGGTATAGGAAAGTTTGTGCTCGTTGGGTCCTGCGGTTATTGACCGAAGACCACAAAGGTCACATTGGAAGCAATTGCAAAGATGGGGTGGTAAGTTCTTCCACACCCCTCCTATATCCCTGTTCTGGCACCCTCCGACTACCATCTTTTCGGATTTGTGAAGGATCAGTTGCATGGACAGCATTTTGAGACAAGGGAGGCAATTCAGAAAGCAGTGCGTCAGTGTCTTCAGATGGCTGGAATGGAATTTTACAGAAGGGGAATTTTCAAACTCCCAGAACGCTGGGAGAAATGTGTACAAAGAAGTGGCGATTATGTGGAAAAATAAAGAAAGGTCTGTAGATTGAGGTGGTGTATTTGGTTTGTCAATAATCAAGCATGTTACTTTATAAAAAATTGTTGCTCATGGCTTTTAGTACAACCCTCGTTCATTGCTGTAGTCTTCTCATTATTTATTACCATGTTATTCATTGAAAACCAAGATTCTAGTTGCTTCATTACCTTATCTATTTTGTCTTGAAGAATATTTTTGTTCTTTTCTATTACCAGTATACTGGTATCATCTGCAAATAGCACCACTTCCCCGTTAGTTATATGGAGGGGTAGGTCATTTATGTAAATCAAAAACAAAAACAGGCCCAAGGTTGACCCTTGTGGAATCCCTACCTTTACATTCCTTATTTTTGATTTAAAATGAGTCATACAGTCCCTGTTGCTCTTAGAAATTAGTTCCACATATTGTGCCCTCAGTGTTAGATATGATTTTAGCCAGACATTGATTTGCCCTCTTATCCCAGAATGCTCTAATTTTTCTAGCAAAATATCATGGTTAATAACATCATAAGCCTTTGTTAAATCAAAGAAGATATCCACTGGTGGTAATTTCTTATCCAAAGCTTCTTGTATCTTCCCGATAAACGTCTGACACGCTGATATTGTTGATTTATCTTTTTGAAATCCATATTGTTTTTCAGTTAATATTTTAAATTTAGCTGGAAAAGACACCAGTCCATTGTACACTATTTTTTCCAAGATCTTTGAGAATACTGATAGCACCAATATAGGTCTATAGTTACTCGCTTCGTGTTAGTTTCCTCTTTTATAAACTGGCTTGATCTTTGCAATTTTCAATAAATCAAGGAAACCCATTGATTTATTGATTCATTAAATATAAAATTGAGTGTTTTTTATACTTGTGATGCATATTTTTATAAGAAAATCTGGGATTCCATCAGCTCCCGCTGAGGCTTTGCCATTTAATTTAGATGCTTCTGTGATAATTTCTTCTTCCAAGATTGGCCAAAAATACATTGAATTTGGGTTTCCTGTTACAACTTTTTTAACGATATTTCTTTGGTCCTACTCTTGTTTTTCTCCATGAGTTTTTCAACTTTGTCTATAAAATGTGAGTTCAGTGTGTCAGCCACCTCCTGGGGGTGGGATATTTTCCTATTATATCCTTGTAACCATATCTCCTGGTCATCCTTTCCTACTTTGCCCATTCTTTTATTTATTATCTGCCATATTATTTTACAAGGTGGTTGAAATATGACCAGGACTGATTTTTTTTAAAACCAAAATTGCCAAACACTTACTTGCACATGTCAGTCTTCAACGTACTCCCATCTGGAGTCAACACATTTTTTCCAACGTTCTGGAAGCATCCTGATGCCCTTTTCAAAAAAGTTTTGTGGTTGGCGGCATATCCACTCCCGAACATTCTGGATGACGGCGTCATTGTCCACAAACTGCATGCCTTGCAAGTCTGATTTGAGCCTTCCGAACAGGTAGAAATCACTTGGTGCCAAATTGGGACTGTATGGCAGATGTGTCAGAAGGTTCCATTTCAGTTTCCGGAGGGTTTCCATTGTTGTTTTGGCCGTATGGGGGTGTGCATTGTCTTGAAGGAAGGCTACCCGCTTTCCACCTCTGTTCCACTTGGATCGGATCTTTTCCTTCACGTCTGTTGCCAGGAGGTCTGAGTAATAAGCTGCATTGACTGTTCTAGCATCTATCAGAAAGTCTACATGGATAACCCCCTGCTAGTCTGAGAAGAACGTTGCCATCACTTTTCCTGCCGAATGGCTCCTGCGCGCTCCCTTGGGTTTGGGAGAACTGGTATGCCGCCACTCGCATGATGATTGCTGGGACTTGGGAATGAAGTAGTGCACCCACGTTTCATTGGTGGTCACTATAGACTTCAAAAATGCATCACCCTCATCTTCAAACTGCTGTAGGAGACGACTGGCAACTTGCATGCGCACCATTTTGTTCACATCCATCGAAATGCATGGTACCCACCGTGCATTCACCTTGTGATAGTGCAGGTGGTATTTCATGATGTCTTCTACACTGCCAACACTGATGGACAGCATTGCTCCAAGTTCCTTGATAGTGATGCCCCTATTCTCACGAATAAGTGTGTCTGCACTATCAGTGTTTGGCTTCGTGACAGATGTTCACGGCCGACGATCATGCGGTTCATTCTCCATGCGCTCTCTGCCCTCTCTGAAGCACTTACACCACTCACACACATGGGTCCATGAGAGACACTCTTCCCCATACTGTTGTTGGAGTCTGTGGTGAATTTCAGCGGATGGGACGTTTTCTCCAACGAGGAATTTGATCACAATGCGTTGTTCCACGCTCTGCGGTACCTTCTGTTCACTCATCACTCTAGCAACTTCCAGACAGAACTGAATAGGTTCTAACCCTAACCGGAGGGAGGGTGGAAGTTGTGGCTTCACCCTCTCAAGGTCACTGCTGCGCAGTGCGGCTTGTTTACAAAAAAAATCAGTCCCCGTCATATTTGAACCTCCTAGTATTTGGGTTAGATTCCCCTTCTATCCATTTATCATTTTGTCTCTTTTTTCCTTCTAAAATAACCCTTTTATATATCCTTTGATAACTACTCATATAGGTTACTATTTCGATTGGCAAAGCTATCGTCCGTTTTAAATTTGAGGATGACATTAATGTCGTCTCCCATGAATAAGAGGCACAAGCAGTTAATTGTAAACTGTCTCCATTTTATATTATGCTGCGTTTCACATATCCACATTAGAATATTATCAGTAATCACAGAATAGACACAATATGCTGAAAAACTGATCGCTCATCTGTGATGTGCAGCATGCTAATCTTTGACAGTCATTGCTGTGTGAACCTGAAATTGCATAATGAAAATGCTTAACAAAACATTTTTATGCATGTAAAAGGATATGGTGCTTACTGCTGCATGTGTTGTGTGAATGGTATGTAAACGTTATTACCTAGTGACACACATCTATTACTGAATCTTAATGGGAAACAGTAATAATGACATGGACATGTTAGTTTTAACTTTTGTTAAAAACATAGCAGTCTTTGAAAACCACTGATAGGGAAAGTGAATACTTATAAACCAAGATTTGGTAATATAGTTTTACTTCCATGCAGCTGTAGTGATAGATTTCCTTGTTGCTACCATTATTTATTTATTTGTAGATTTCAAATTTTCTGGTTTTGATAATTTTAATAATGCCACGTTCTTAAGATGAGGCTTTATTGTGTTATTTTGTGTGTGATTACAGGTATTCATTATCGTATTGATGCTGCCGAATCAGCAGCAAATGTCTTCGGTTGTATTGACAAAATATTCCTTGAAAACTGTGCTCGCAAGAACAAGGACAAAGTTATATTTGTTTAAGAGGAATAAACTTCAGTAGGTGGAAAATATAGAAACAGTTACAATATTATTGATTCTGAAACAGAATTCTGCTGACAGATTGAACCAAGTGCTGAGATGCTGTTCTTTCATCATGGGTGGTATTCATAAAGCATAATATTATTTTCTTCCAAAACTTGCCATTCTTAATTCATTGTAATTGAAGGTCATTCTAGAATGGGCATAGCAACCACTGGTCTAAAATATGTTTTGAAGGGCCAGTGGAAATGGTTTCAAGATACTTATTTGGAGTCTTTGCAGTGGTATACAAAAGCCAGTACTCTTAAAAATTAGTGTTAGCACTGTTAACAGCAGAATGTTGAATAAGAATTATAAAATAAGAAAATCTTGCCTTCATTACTTATTTATCAACACAGTATTTTTACATGCATTTCAGTCAACATAGGATTATCATCAGCAGTTCATTATGTGTCAGTGCCAATGTTAGTTTTGCCTGTATACAATAATCATTTACAAAATTGCCTTAAAATTGTTTTTATATATTGTGCTTGTTAAGTGAGTGTGTGGTTAGTCAACAGAATAGAGATACAGCATTCCATGTACATAAATAGTTTACACTGGATGTCCAAATAGGCAGTTAACCATAAAATCATTTATCATGTATTAATATTTTAAAAACAATTTCTGTTAAGACATTTTTGTGAATGGTTGATATGTTAACTGCCACATGACTATATATAGTCATGTCCCAACCTTTTAGGTTAGGTAGTTTGACACTCATCAGAAAGCAAGACCTCAGTTGCTCCAAGATTTGCTTCAGCTTTCAGAGCCTCAGATGCCCTCACATGTTACAAGGAAAACTGCTGTGAGAGAAAGAAAGTAGCTCTCAGAATTTCTCTAGAAATATATTTAAAGGGAGGTTTACCCAAATGGTTCATTATCATCAGCCTCTACAGCCATTGAAATTTCTCAGCATTCCCTTTCCAGTCGCCTCACTCTCCCATACCTCTTTCTACAAAAGTTACCACTTCCCGCAGGGCAGTGTTAGTACTCAAACTGTCTATTTGTTACCCACTTTGATTGTTTTTTTTTTTTGCATTGTTTTGTTAATTGTATTCAAGTAATACTGCTGTCTTGTTATTAATCCCAGATGTGCTATAATTGAGCTTGATTTTAAATTAAACAGGCTGTTGTGGCCGACTTGCAAACCTGATCACCATTTATGACACTGTGTCTATGGACAGTTGAGTTCTGAGCAAAGGGTATATAACACATACATAATTTGTGTCCTTCCTGTACATTAATTTATGTTGTAAAACTAACACATGTTGCCAGTTGGTAGACAGTTAATTTTGTCAGGAACTTTATCACTTCATCTCATTTGCACTTGGTTCTGTGTTTTACTTAGCTTTGGTGCTCTCATGTTGGAGTATCTGCTTGCCATGATTTGATCCAATCTATGGGTGGGTTTACGGTAGTAGTAAGAGTTTATCTGTAGGATACTTACACAACCAGAAACATATAGTTTTCCAGTGATATCCCAAGTCTTGTTAATTATATTTTGCCTCTCATTTTCCCTGAGAGGTAGCACAAAATAATTGGCATTGTTTTCTGCACACCTGGGGGAGGTTATTTTTTGAAAGGGGGGATCATACATGATGTATATGGTATTGGGGAAGATATTAAAGGTGAATATTTTTGTTAATGTTCCCCAGTATTGAAGAGTATTTGCTGAATATTTTTTTTTATAAATATAAAATATTGCCTCAGTATTGATTTTAGAATCTTATTATTAAATACTGTAGAGTTCATAATTTCAGAAATCTGTAAAGACAAAGTATGAGGGGCAGTCAAGTGGAAACGGGTCAGAAGCCAAAACATATTAAAGAACATTTCTTACCTCAAAAGTAATCTCCAAAACTGTAAATACATTTATCCCACTGGGAGATAAGATGGTCAATCCTATCCTTGAAAAAGCTTGTGGGCTGTTTACGGAACCACATCTTTACCCAGCCACACACGTCCTCGTCCAGTGCAAACTGATGTCCACGAATGTCTCTCTTCAGGTATGCAAAATTGTGAAAATCACATGGGGAGAGATCTGGACTGTAGGGGGGTGTTGAAGCACTTTCCAACCAAATCTCTGTAGCGTATTGCTCACAGAGTTGGCAGTGATGGGCGTACATTATCATGAAGAAGGATACTGCTGTTTGATAGCATTCCAAGGGGTTTTGACTTTATGCCACATCTCATTTTCTGCAAAGCGTTTTCATAGCGCTGTCCACTGATTGTGGCTCCGTGCTCGAGAAATTTGACAAGCAGAGGTCCCTTTCAGTCGAAGAATGTTATCATCACACTACTGGAACTTGTGTGTACTGCTTTGGATTTCTTCGGTGGGGCAGAATTCACGTGTTTCCACTGTTGGCTCTGCCATTTGCTCTCGGGTTCAAAATGGTGGCACCAAGTTTCATTCCCAGTGGCAATACGGGACAGAAAAACATGCTCTTCCACATGGTATTGTTGCAAGTGACCCAGTGATACAGCCATTCTCTGAGTCTTCTCTTCCTCCGTGAGTTGATGTGGAACCCACTGCATGCAGATTTTGTGGTACAGCAGGTGTTTTGTCACAGTGGTGTGTACGGAACCGTGACTTATTCCCATCAGAAGATTAATTCCTTCCACAGTGATCCGTCGGTTTGCCCGGATATGACCATCCAATGCAGCAGTGACTTCAGGAGTGATGACACAATGAGCCTGTCCTGGGCGAGCATCATCTTGCAGTGACAGACGTCCCTCTCGGAATCTCTTATGCCATACCAGCACACGTGAATGTGACATGCTGTGTTCGCCGTAAACAACAGACTTGCGATGATGGAATTTCTCGTCGTCCTACTCCTTCAGTAGTCAAAAAATGCACTACACTTTGCTGTTCTTCTTTACCTGCCTCCATTACTGATGTTGGATGACCACCTGTAGCGCTAACCTTACTTTCATCACAATAAACAAACAATTAGTGTGCAAGGGCACATTGTCACTGTGCTTTCCCGAGTTCTCAGCAAGTGTTTGTACCATAAGCAAATGCCAGTGTTACCATCTTGTGTGTCATGTGAGTTATGCGTGGTGACCCATTTTCATTTGACTGCCCTTATATAATGTTGAAAGCATTTACTGGGATTCTGTGAATAATAAATTTGTTTATTGAAAAATATATGTGAATTATTTATTGAAAATATGAGAGAAATGAAGTATTTACATAAAACATCATGTGCATGTTATTTACAAGGGTACAGTATTATGTATGGACAACAATAATAGTCATAAATAAATGAGCAGTAAAGAGAGAATAAAAGTTGAAGATATAAAAGAAATGATCAAGTAAGGTATGATAAATGAGTGTGAATAGTGAAAGAGTGTTTCTGGAAGGATAGAGAAAAATATACGAGGCTTCATAAGAACAACACTAGTATTCTATGTATTTCAGTATGGAAGTGCTGGATTGATGTAAATGAAATGTTCACACATTACAGACATGTGAGAAACTTCCTCTTGGGGGATATGAGTCAACTCATACCCCACAAAAGAAAGCACAGTAGGAACCTGTGCAGTGCAAGAGAACAGGTTGGAAGAATTATTTATTGGGATTCTGTTGGCTAGTGATTTCGTGGGAGGGGAGCGATACGCACAAGCTAGTGGTATGACAGCATACATTTAACGATTGCCCTCTCGGCGCCGGCTATTTTCAGGATCCTATTTGCCTCCGCGTATAGATGGCAGCAATAATGCTGTCGTGACGTCATCGCGACCAGGTTTCCCACATGTTGCGTTGCCAAGGGCAAATCTCAAATTCCTTGTGTTACAAGTCTAAGGCGGTTGCTTGAATTCGTAAAACAAATGTGTAGTAATTATTGTACCGGTGCAGTGATGTTTATATAGGCGCATTTAAAGATATTCACATACTACATTTCAGCTGAATATAATAAGGACACGTGATGTTCATCTACTTAAGCAAAAAGGTAAGTTCTTTTAGCAATTCATTTACAGTTCAAATACAACACAATTCTGGGAACGAAAGGAACACAATGCATTGTTTACCTTTTCCCACAAGAAAATTAACGGAATTAAAAAATGAAACAACGTAGGTTATAGATCGCTTAAATAACCAAGTTGTTAACATTGAGAATTGCTAAGTGAAGAGAAACTTGAATTCTTTCACCTTCAAAAAGAATAGAATCACTGATGTCACTGAAATCGTAAACTTCTGAAGGAAAAAAAGTTTAGGAATGTCGTTATATTACGATAACCAGTTTTGTTGGATTAGTTTGTTAGACACACAAAGCAGAAATGAACACCAAATTCAATGACAAGTCAGGGAAACTGGGCAACTTAGATTTAATGTATGCAGTGTTCCGTGACATATTGGCTAAACTTCGAAAGCGTGTTCTACAGGTAATTTGGAGCAAAAAAAGTCCAGTCAACTGTAGGTTGTTTTGACACCGTTATCAAGTTCATCGAGCTGGAACTGCTGTTTATACACTGTCTATGCTAGGATGGCTGTGTTGTGTTGCAGTACTGCTGCAGTCAAAGTGCTGAACACGTTTACAAGTGAAGAATATGCTGGCACACATTTCATACATGGTTTCTGCAATGGAAATGGCATGGCTGCTGCTGTAGAATACCAGCAACAGTATCCAATTCGCAGAATTCCAAATTTGAAAAACATTTGAGGATGTATACAGAATTTTGAAAGGTTACACCATGGTTAACCATGGTTACACATTCTGTGTGACATTCTGTTCATAGATGAGGCTCAGTTTACCTACACAATGTAGCAGAAAGAAATTTTCGACACAGATTTTCAGTTATTGTGTGGTATAGAGTATGAGACAATAACCTGATTGGACCACATGTTATCAAGTACAGTACAGGAATTTTCTGGAAAATGAATTACCACTGCATTCAGAGGAAGTACCTCTTGTAGCATAATGATGAATGTGACTGCAACATGATGGAGCACTTCTGCATTTTGGCGGAGCAGTAATAGAGTTTTTACTGAATGTGACTGCAACGTGATGGAGCACTTCTGCATTTTGGCGGAGCAGTAATAGAGTTTTTACTGAATGTGACTGCAACGTGATGGAGCACTTCTGCATTTTGGCGGAGCAGTAATAGAGTTTTTACTGAACATTATGAAGGAAGAGGGATGGGAAGAGGTGGACTGGTGGCTTGGCCCACTTGATTTCCTGTCTTAAACCCATTAGATTTCTTTTTGTGGGTTTTGCGTGAAGTTGAGGGTGTATCATGAAGCAAGGCGTCAATCAGTACAGACCTTAGATGAAGTTGACATTGGTTTGAAAATGAAGTGGGATGCATGCAGTGGCACAATGATTGGTAGCATGCATGCAGTTTGATGTTGGCCCTTTTTGACATGTGTTGTAAGGACCTTGAAACTTAATTGTTATAAGCATTTACAATAATGATAAACATGAGTTGAAAGGATGTTCTTTATTAAGTACTACACTAAGGTGGTGCTTTTCCCGCAGTGGCAGCCCGGGTTTGAGTCCAGGTCATGTCATGTGGGATTTGAGGCTGACACAGTGGCACTGGGGCAGGTATTCTCTGAGTACTTCAGTTTCCCCTACCAATTCTCATTCCACCGACTGCTCCTCTCATTATTGTGTCTCAGCTGAAGAAACTAAAGACAAAAAGAACTAACCAAGCTAAGGTAGTGCTTAACCCAACAGTATTTTGTTGTACCTTTTTTTGCTTCAAATGACTATTGGAGCATGCTCCTAAGTTTGTTCAGTCTCTAATGAAACACTGTGTGTTACAGTATATTGTTCATGATTGATTGTTTCTGCATGTGTGAGTATGTGATTTTTATGGCCATCTTGCACAGTTTCGATGTACTTACACATGTGGCATCTGAAGGGTAAATCAGAAACTTAATTTACTGTTTTAATGCAAAGAGGAGGAGTGGCTGTTAAGGTATGAAAGGGATAAAGGAAAGGAAGAAAATGGTGAAGGATGAACATAGAGAAGAAGATAAATTATTCATCTTTGAATTTCAGCAGGCATTTTCCACTAGTAATTCATGTTTGGTATAAAAATTGCAGTATTCAAACGTAGCAAAATTATATATGGTCAATGTTGTTGCAAGTATAAACTATACTAGAAAGTCACGTTTGTGTAAACTTGCCCTTCAGCCCCACATTCAGCAAAATTCAAGTTTGTATGGCAGGTATATATGTATACAGTGCAAACTTAAGGAATAGCTATAAATATGGTAACCATATCTGCCCTAAAAGCATGTCTCTTTATACTGCAGTCCTGTCATGCCCTCAGGTTGCCATTCCCAAGGACACCAAATTTAACTGACCAAAATTTCTTTCAGATTGCAATTCCCAACAACACCAAGCTTAATTGCTTGGCATGGAACCGAGAACAGGGTTATCTTGCTTGTGGTGGGGAAGAAGGATTGTTGAAAGTTCTGAAGCTTCAAACAGGTAATTTTAGTTTTTGTTGCATGCAGATGAGTATTGGTGTGACACAACTTTTTCATAATAACTGTTTTTTGTTCCTTTTTGTGTCACTTTATTTCTGAAATAGCTAGTATAGTGACAAGGGATCAGGGTTCAGTTCTGAGCAGAGACAAAGAGATTTTTCAGTGGGGTAAAATGTCTGCTGCTGAGGTTAGGAGTAGTGGAACTATATCTCCACTCCACCACACATCTTTGTATTCTTGTGCTTAATTAATTAATCACATTAATTTACTGGATTAGGATTGTTACAGAAACTTAAATAGTATGTATAAAGTTTCTTAAGTGTGCAGTGTTCCTTGGAAGTAAATATAAGCTTGAAAAGTGAATGTTTTTAACCCATTGACAAAATTGGTTTCAGCATTGAATTGAATTGAATTGAATTTATTTACCTTCCATAAATCCAGTACAGGTGAGACACCATAGGATATGGAACAAGTCAAGTTAGAATACGTAGTATCTATTAGACACCCAGTACTATGGAAACAAATGATGATTTCAGAGCTGTTTCCTAATTAAATGTGAGCATTCAGTTTGGTGCAAGGGCCTCCTTATTGTAGAGGATTAGGGAAGTGTTAACGAGATACATGAAAATCCCTGGTGGTGATTAATTTTTCTTTAATTCAGTTCATTTCATATGTAATTATGCAGGTATATTTTTAGGTGTTCAGTATTTGATTTGTGTGATACAAAAGTCCTTTTCTGTCATTAGGGGCTGATAGTAAGGTGAAAGGGTTGGCAGCCCCATCAAATTTGTCAATGAATCAGACACTGGAAGGCCACAGTGGACAAATTCAAGTTATTACTTGGAATGAGAAACACCAGAAGCTCACCACGAGTGACCAGTATGGTCTTATTATTGTGTGGATGCTATACAAGGTATATCATAATGTTATGGGACTAACATAGTATCATTACTGTGTAGATGGTGTACAGTAATAATGTCATAAATATAAGTTATAAGTTTGAAGTATAATATCTTGTTTTTATCTTTTGCAAGGCAAAGACTTGTATGAATTTATTAATTTTTCTTTTCTTTTGCTGTCGTGCAGTGCCTATTAAATTTTCTTGATATGTCCATTTGTCTACATGGCATGATGCAACTACTGGATAGGTTTTCGTCATATTTGGTACTGGAGGCTTTTGAAAAAAGAAAAATGTTGAGCCATGTCAGTTTTTGTTTAGATTGTAAAGGATTAACAGCCACTTTACCTGAAGACCTACATGCATTTCTGTGTGTATGTTAAGCATAATTTGCTGAATTATTATCAGGGGGGAAGAGTGTTGAACAAAAGCTGTAGGGGAACTGAACTTCACATCTTATGTTCAGTACATTTGCTCCATAAAACCTAATGAATTTGAGATAAATTGAACAAAAGGGATGTTGTGAGTATATTTTATAGCTTGCTTATTCAGCAATCAATGATGGTTTCCTGAACACAGAAAAAAGAAAAGAAAGCCTTAATTGAGTTTAGACTGTGTTAAAATTTATATTACACTATGACTTTTAACTGTGGGAATTTCCCACAATCAAACGGACAATTCGGCTCCCACAGTGAAGCAAGAGCAGGTGATATTTATACAGTACAGCTTGCAACCTGGCTGTCTGCACTGCCACACAGGTGCTACTCATTCACCAATCGCTGTAGCAGCTCCAATGTCCATTTGTTAGTGCATCGCCCAGCAGCAAGAGTATAAAGATGCTGCCCTCCGACATGCTAGCTTCAGTCATGTCAGTCACGGCTACGCTTGCATCCAGAGATAACCGCAGCAGCAACCTTACCAGTGACCGCCGGCTGTGACTGGCTACACTGGTGTTGCACTGCCGGCACCACTTCTCAACATTGTTTCTTGCCTGGAACCAATAGTTCCTTTACCGGACCTTATCCAGGGTCTTGTGACATCCTGTTGATCTACCATGTAGTTCAGTCTGCATGTTGTTCACTCTGCTTTGAGAGAGAAGTATCTAGGCACTCTAGTATGCCATTCCTCACAATATGGGATTTCCCTTTGGACCAGCAGTATTTGTATGTGGAGATGATGCAGTTGGTGATGTATTTCTGTTCTTGGTGGTGGCCAGGTCTCTGCTTCCAGCAGAATGGGCCCTGTGTCCTGGTTGTACAGTTGTTCCCTTCGCAGATCAGCTGCATCCCTATAGGCTGTAGCTACAGCCGCAGTTCTTCATACCTGTTAGATGTTAGCCCACGCCTTGACAGTGAGTACACTCCTCTGGGCATGGTTGTTGCAAAAGTACATCGGCTTTGTTGTGTTTTCGGCCTTGACAGTGCTCAGAAGTAAAGTTGTACTCTTGTAAGCGTGAATCCAGCTGGTGGTTTGTCCCTTGAGATTGTTTAAATTCATAAGCCAGGTTGGTGCAAAGTGGTCAGTGTGCAGGTGGAACTCTTGTCCGTAGAGGCAACAGATATGTTCTAGTGTCCTCACAATTTCAAGTAATTCACACCAGATGATGCAGTACCTTCTCTTATTCTTGTTCAGCATCTTTCTGTAGTAGGATATTATGCTGTCCTGTCTGTCTTGTATTTGTGACAGGACACCTCTAGTTATGCTACTACTTGCATTGTGTCAACAACGAACCTTTCTCCAGGCTGTGGGTAAGTAAGAATAGGGGCAGTACAGAGGGCCTCCTTTAGTGTTTGAAAAGGTGGCCTCCACTTCAGGAGTCCACTGGAAGCCTTGCTTCTCCTTGAATTTGGTTAGCAGTTTTGCAATGTGCATAGGGCCAGGAGGCTTCTAATTTCATGTCTCTTCTTCGGGGTTGGCCATTCCCATACAACTTCTTCTTGGGTTTGGTGGTTATCCCCTCAGGTGAGACAATATGCCTGAGGTCCCATACTTCCTTCTAAAGAAGTTGGCACCTCCAGATTGAGTTCTAGGCAGGCTTCTTGAAACCGCTGGAATACTTTCTTCAGGTTGAGCAGGTGCTCTTGGAATGTGCAGCCAATCATGATCACGTCCAGGTACATGAGACATGACTCCTAAGTGATGCTCTTAAAATGTCACTGGAGCATTGCAGAGCCCCAGGGGTATGACTGTGAACTGCCATAGCTCCTGACCTGTTGAGAACCCAGTCTTCTCCTTGTCATCTGGATGCAGATCCACCTGCCAGTGACCACTCTTTCGGGTCATCCGTTTGTGATGTTTGGCCTGGCGACTGTCACTGAAAACCCACTGATAAACAAAAGACCTGAAAATCAAACCTCTTTTTTCATATTTGTAATGGAAATTTGTAAAAATGTGCTTGCTAATTCCATGATGTTTGTCTGTGTGTAACACTTGAGAACTGGTGAACAGATGTACTTGAAGTTGGTATTGGTTAATTTAAACAAATTTGTCAACATACCCATTTTGGTTAAAATTGTAGAATAATGGCCCCTTCACATGAGGTCCTGCATGTGTTTCTGCCTATGACTTGCAGCATATTTATTAAAGTGAAAAATGTTTTGAACAAATGTTGTAGAAAAGATGCCTGCTACATTTATTTTTCTATGAGTCTTAATGGTTTTCAAGGTCATGCAATGAAAGGGAGTGAACATGCCAGAACTAATAATCTTAAGTGTACATTTTCTGACTTCTTTACTGTTTGCTTCATACATGCTGTAAGTAATATAGCACTTGTTAAAGAGGAGTTTCAAAATGCAGATGTGAAGTATCTCTTTGCCTAATCATCATGTCAAGATATTGTGACATGTTGACCCCTACCTCCCCAGCTGCACGTAGCGGTAACGTAGCGCTCGCGTAATAGGCGAGTAATCACCCCGCATCCTGGTAGCTATGCAACGCGCAACGCGCGGTGACGTCACGAGCGGAGCCGAAGTGAGCCGAGCGGAGCCGACGTTAGCCGAGTCCACGCGACCTTGAAGCTATGCAAAGCGAATCAACAGCGGTGACGTCACCGAGGGATATCGCGGTTGCTAGGCAGCAGTCAACAACTCCGGACAGCGTGGCTAGCAACACGGCACCAGACGACAATTGTCCGATCAAGGCTACATAAGGAGCAGCGAAGGCTATCACAGTCAGTTAGTCCTGGAGCTACCTATGAGTCAGTCCTCGAGCTACCTCCGAGTTAGCCAGCAACCAGTCAGTTGTATTCTGGCATTTGGAGTGTACTAATTGTGATACTGCAGATAGCAGTAATCGTAAATCTGTAATTTGGGTGAATGTAAGCGCAAATGTGAAATAAAATTCGCTACATCAAATACGGCGTGAAGTTATTTGTCACGATATACGCCCAATATGTGACAATATTAACTGGAGATGGGGAGTGGAGATAAAAGTTAGTGCCTTTTTTGACCAAAAGAAGGTTTGGTATTGCTGCATTCTATGCCTTATCTTATTTTCTTCTTTTCACTGCTATTCTTTTTTTGTATGTGTATATGAGTGTGCAGTGCAATTTGTCACAGTATAAGTTGTTACAGCGCTATGAAGTATTTATGATAAACTGATCAGATGATTGTTACAGGGTTCATGGTATGAGGAAATGATCAACAATCGCAACAAGTCAGTAGTCAGAGGAATGGCTTGGAATTCAGATGGCCAAAAGATCTGCATTGTGTATGAGGATGGTGAGTATAAATGACAGTTTCCTTGATGTCTAATTTGTAATTTAGTTGATATATGTATTAACATTCTGTGTATTAAAGTTTGTATATTGTATCATTAAAAGTTGTTTGTATCAGGGTGAGAGGTAGAAATCTGTCAGATATATTATCTGGCATGGAATATTAATTTTTTGTCTGAAATTATTGTCTCATGTGAATACTGGGATAGCACTTTAAAAGAGGCCATAATCACTTCCTTTTACATTCCTTTAAGTTTATCATTTTTAATTATATACAGCTCTAACATATACATTTAAGTAAGTATTTTTAAACAGAAAAGAAACAAGAAAATTGTCAACGTTTGTACTAGTGGAAGCTAAAGGGTTCTGACAATGGTGTACAGTACTCAGATTTACTGGGTTTTTGGACTTTGTCCATTGTCAATGCCTGGACAAAATCAAAAGTTTGTATTGTTAATCAGTTTATAATAGTGTGTTCCCAAATATGGCTCTGGTTTATATAGCTGGGGAAAGAAATTTGTTTACAGTTCTCTCTTTCTGTCTAAAGATCTTCCTTGGTACTCAGAGTTACTGGGTTTTTGGACTTTGTCTGTCATCCAGTATCCTAAAAGAATGGAGAAAACAAAGTTTCTCAAAACTTTATAATCTCTATTTTTCTGGAATATTAGGCGATGGACAAATTGCATAAACTCAGTAATTCTGAGCGTTACACACCATTGTCAGAACCATTTAGAATCCATCTTCCTTGGTGTTTTGTGAATCTGTAGTCTAAGTTGTCCGGTTATCTTATCAAAATTAATTCTATCAACATATTCACTGAAATTCTTTACACACTGTTTGCATAAAATCTGTTTGTTGTCAAATTTGTTACCATATCATTACTTGCATGTTCATGTAATGGTGTAACGTGCTGTTCATCTCGAAATGCGTGCCTGAGATTGTTAACCTTTGCAATACAAGATTTCTTATTTCATTTTTGCATGAAAAATGTTTCTGAAATATTGTCTTGTTATATGTATACAAATTCTCATGTTGGATGTCAATTTTTATAGTGGTCAGCCACACCCTTTCACAAAATCACCTAATTTTTATTTCAGCAACAAACTCTCAGGCAGGTGGAGGTGAAAACATCCATGATGGGAAAAATTTTATTGTGTCAGTCCTTCTTCTGGTCCTGATGACAGTGTTGTTTATATGTATTTCTTTATTATACCCTCATTTCACCAAGTGTAACCTGGCTTTCTGTTTGCTGTAGGTGCTGTAATTGTGGGTTCGGTGGATGGAAATCGTATCTGGGGAAAAGAACTGAAAGGAAATGCCTTGACTGGGGTGGAATGGTCTCCAGATGGAAAATTGCTGCTGTTTAGTCTCCGCAGTGGCGAGATTCATGTTTATGATAATCAGGGAAGCTTTGTAGTGAGTAATGTAAAGAATTTTGTAAATTTATGAGTGACTGAGATGCAATGAAATGTCAGTGCAGGAAACAATGAAATAACAACATGTAAGATTTGAGGCTTTCATGGCGGGACTATGAAGAAAGCAGTCTTCTGGGATTTGGCACCATGTATATGTGGTGTTAACCGACGTTTCAGAGGAACGCATCGCCTCCATCTTCAGATCCAGATCCAGAAGGCTACATAGGCCATGACCGACTAACATAACAACCCCCCCCCCCAGCTTAAGGGTTAGTGCCCAGCCTTTAACCTTGCCTTTC